AGCATTTCTTGAAAGGCTGATTTCTTGGTGATCAAGTCCTTTAGTTTTTGCTTGTCTGGGAAACTTTATTTCTCCTTCCATTCTGAATGATAACCTTGCCAGGTAGGTTATTCTTGGATGTAGGTTTTTTCCTTTCAGCACTTGAAATATATCATGCCACTCCCTTCTAGCCTGTAAGGTTTCTGCTGAGAAGTCAGCTGATAGCCTCATGGGGTTTTCTTTGTATGTAACTTGTTGCCTTTCTCTTGCAGCTTTTAGGATTCTCTCTTTATCTTTAATTCTGGACATTTTAATTATAATGTGTCTTGGTGTGGGCCTCTTTGGGTTTATCTTGTTTGGTGCTCTCTGTACTTTCTGTACCTGGATGTCTGTTTCCTTCTTTAGGTTAGGAAAGTTTTCAGTTGTTATTTCTTCAAATAGATTTTTTGCCCCTTTGTCTCTCTCTTCTTCTGGGACACCTGTAACACGGTTGTCAGTGTGCTTGATGTTGTCCCAGAGGTCCCTTAGACTGTCCTTGTTGTTTTCAGTTCTTTTTTCCTTTATCTGTTCAGCTTGGGTGATTTCCTCTAGTCTTTCATCCAGCTCACTGATCAGTTCTTCTGTATCATATACTCTGCTATTGAATCCCTCTAGTGAATTTTTCATTTCCAGTATTGTATTCTTCATTTCTTATTAGTTCTTTTTTATATTTTCCAGTTCTTTGTTGATATTCTCACTAAGTTCATCCGTTCTTCTCCCAAGATCAATGAGCATCCTTATGACTATTAGTTTGAACTCTTTGTCAGGTAGATTGTTTATCTCTCTTTCGTTTAGTTCTTTTTCTGGTGTTTTGTCCTGTTCCCTCACTTGGGATGTATTCCTTTGTCTCCTCATTTTGCTTCTGTCTCTGCCTCATTTCTTTGCCTCTTGCTTATATCTATGTATTAAGTAGGTCAGCTACGTCTCCCAGTCTTGGAGAGGTGGCCTTATGTAAGAGATGCCTTATGAGGCCCAGCAGTGTGCTTACCTCTCGTTGCCAGTTCTAGATGTTCCAGGAGTGTTCCCTGTGAGCGCTACATGTGTGCTTCTGTTGTAGCAGGGTTGCTTTTGCTGTAGGTACCTGGGGAGGCTGGGCTGTCCCCCTGGCCGGCTGGTTGTAATGTTTGGCTCTGTGTGGCTGCTGTGGACCCTTCAGTCACTTTACCGGGTGTGGGGAGCCCAGCATAGTTGGCTGCAAGGTCTAATAGCACATTCCTGTTGCAGGTTTTCTGTTGAGTGAGTAGGCCCCCCTTGTAGCTGGTTACTAGGCTCAAGGACTTACAATTGCTATAGCCCTCTGGCCTACAAGGCTGTTGTCAGCTCTCTCAGGGTTGCAGCTGAGTGGGGCGGGCCCCAGGCATGGGAGCTCCCAATTGTTTCAGACTTTGGAAGGTGGGGCCAATCCCCTATGTGTCTGTTTGAGAAGCACAAGTCTGCTGCAGTTGACAAAGCCCCACTGCCCACAGGACCACACCCCCATCAATGTAGTCCTGCCCTGTGCGCATGCCCCAACCCACTGAGGTGGACCCAGTCGCCCCACTGCACGTGCACGCCCTGCCCCGCCGAGGCAGACCCACTCGGCTGGCTGCAGAGGTTCTATGCACCCTGCCTGTGCGGTTCCACAAGTTGCCTGAGGGCCTGCTGTTGTGTAGGACCAGTCCCTAGAGCGGACTGCCTGCCCTGGCAGAGCTGGATTAAAATGGTGCTCTAGTGGGTGGGGCAGACCCCTGGGCTAACAGGCCAGGGGAAGAACTCCAGTGGGTGTCTGCCAGCATGTGTCAGCACACCTGTGGCTCCCACCAATGTCTCAGTCCCTGGGGAGGTGGTCCCAGCTTGAGGAGGTCTCACCTCTCACCAAGACGTGCCAAGAGCCTATCAAGTCTCCTTTCACCAAAGAACTGTGCACCTTTCTTTCTGGTGATTCTAGGTTGCTTTCTGAAACATGTGAATTTGTGTGTGGGCACTTTAAGAGCAGGCTTTTCTTTCCCCTTATGTCCAATAGCTTTCTTGGGTATTCCCCATTGTTGTTAATAGCCAGCAAAGCCAGGTATTATGACACTTGTCTCAGTTGTGCTGAGTCCAAAAGCTGCTTATTGTGGCAAAGCTCTCCTGCTCAGATCCCCCACTCCTCCAGGGAACACTTCATACCTTAAGATTGCTCCCAGCTGGCTGTGAAATGCTGTGGCTAGAAGGTGGCTTTTTCCTCTCCAGAAAGGAGTTTCTGCCTCTTTCACCTCAATCAGCACTGTCCCTGGTTGTGGGGGTTCTTTTTATCCAGTTTTCAGGTTCTCTCTCAGGGGTAATTGTTCCTGGGTAATAACTCCAGGAGGTGAGTTCAGAGACCACCTACACCGCCATCTAAAACCATTTATAATTCTTTAAAAAGCATACATATAAGTAGGATATAAAATTTTCTTGGATTTTGAAAATAACCTCAAGAAAATGTATGCTTACTTTCAGTGCATTTGGTGTATAGTTAGACATGCTGTGAAGGGCATTTCGGGTCCTGGCCTAGCCTGTGATTTCCCACATGGTTTGGGTAGATTATGTGAGTCTGTCCAGAAGTCTAGACACCTTTAAGATGGGGGTGGGCAGGGCAGGGGGAGGACATTAAATATAAAACTGGGTTCATGGCCTGATTTTAAATGGCTTGAAGTGATGGAACAATTTCAGAATATCTTTGACCTCCCAGCCTGAGGTGAATCTGTTTTTGTGCCGGTATCTTCCAAACAAGCTGTAATTTTGCCAGCATTTGCCTGGGTCTGATCACCTTACCATAGAACTATATAAGATGACAATACATACGGTTGTTTTATTGTTAACCTAGTGTTTCCTAGGCTCTTTTAGCTTAAGATATAAAAATAATCCCATGCTATCTTTTTAATATACAACACACTTTGAAAACAGTATTTTCCCAGTCTTGTTTTCCTACAGGCTGTTTGTATTATTAAGGAATTATCATTAGAAATTGTTTGTATGATAATAATATTAAAGCAGCATTTTCAAGAGTCTTTATCTTTTTTTTTAGATAATTGTAGATTTACATGTAATTGTAAAAAAATAATACAGAGAGATCCCTTGTATACTTTGCCCAGTTTCTCCCCATGGTAACATTTTGCAAAACTATAAATAGTATAATATTTCAACCCTTGATATAGTTTATCTATCTTATGTGGATTTCCCCAGTTTTACTTGTATTCATTTGTGTGTATGTTAAGTTCTATATAATTGTATCACATGTGTAGGTTTGTGTATCGACCACCACAGTCAAAATACTGAACAGTTCTACCACCACAAGGATCCCTCCATTTATAACCACACTCACCTACTTCCTACCCCTATCTCCCACCCTTCTTCTAATCCCTGGAAACCACTAATCTGCCCTTCATCTGTAAAGTTTTTTTATTTCAAAAATGTTATATAAATGGAAGCATATAGTATATGACCTTTTAGAATTGGCTTTTGCTCTGCATAATTTCCTAGAAAGTTATCTGATTTGTTTTGTGTACCAATAGTTCATTCCTTTTTATTGCTGAATAGTATTCCATGGTATGTGTGTACCATCATTTGTAACCATTCACCTGTTGAAGGACATCTGGGCTGATTCCAGGTTGGGGCTTTTAAAAATAAAGCTGCTATGAACATTCATGTATAGGTTTTTATGTGAACATAAATTTTCCTTTTTCTGGATAAATGTCTAGGAGTGCAATTGCTGAGTTGTATGGTAACTGCAAGTTTAATTTTTTAAGAAACTGTCAAACTGTTTTCCGGAGTGGCTATGCCATGTTACGTTTCCACCAGCACTGTATAAGTGATCTAATTTTCTCTGCATCCTCACCAACATTTTGGTGTTGTCACTGTTTTTATTTTAGCCATTCGGATAGCTATGTAGTGGTATCTCGTTGTGGTTTAATTTCCATTTTTCTGATGGTATTGATGTTTAATATCTTTGCATGTGCTTATTTGCCATCTGTATATATTCTTTGGTAAAATGCCTATTTATATCTTTGCCTTATTTTCTAATTTTTTTAATTATTGAGTTTTTGAGCATTCTTTATGTATTTTAAAAGTTTTATAGTTTTACATTTTACACTTAAGTCTGCGATCCATTTCGAGTTAATGTCTTTATTAGGTCAGGGTTCCTTTTTTGCCCATGGATGTCTAATTGCCAACACCATTTATTGAAGAGGCTCTTTCCTGCACTGAAGTGATTCTGTACCTTTGTCAAAAGTCAGCTGAGCGTATTTGTGTGGGTCTGTTTCTGGGGTCCTCTTTTCAGCTCGTTTGATCTGTGTCTCTGTCTCTCCACCGATACCACAGTCTTGTTTACTGTAGCTATGTAGTGAGCCTTAATATCAGGTAGAGGAATTCCTCGCTCTTTATTCTTCTTTATCAAGATTGTTTACCTCTTCTAGGACCTGTGGCTTTCTGTAGAAATTTTAGTATAAGCTTAGCTATTTTATATAAAAAGTCCTGCTGAGATATTGATAGGAATTGCATTAAGAGTCCTTATCTCCTAAAGACACATACTGAAATACATATGGAGGAAATTGTGATTTATAGGATTTTCTCCAAAGTAATTTAAGATGGGTGAGAGTAGGTGGATGAGACTAGAGAGAGATGAAACAGATTGACCATAATAATTTTTGAAGAGGGTGACAGTACATACTGTATCATTATACCATCTTTTCTGCTTTTGTATGTTTACGGTTTTCCATAATAATGGTTTTTAATAGCCTCATATTAAAAGGAATGTTTTAATATTGAATTTTAAGCCTACATTCCTGAAATGTCTGCTGAAGTTTAGCTCTATCCACATTTTTAACAAGATCTGAACTTAATATTATATATCTAGGTCATTATTATTTCTCAGTCCTTTTGGAAGGCGCAGGGTCGATTTCTAGAAAAGGAAGCAGTGTTTAGCCAGAATGTACCAGGTTCATACACAGTGGATATAACTGATACTTTGTTTCATATTCTAGGCACTGCTGAGAAGGATCTAGAGAGTGCTAAACTGGTACAGATTTTACACAGACTGCTAGAAGATGAGAGAAGTGCTCCTGAAATCAAATATAATTCCATGGTCCTGATCTGTGCTCTTATGGGATCTGGTAAGTATTTCTTCTATCATTTGATGTCCGTGGTTGACATTAAACCATTTGGTTGACATTAAATATTAAATATAAAATAATAGTAAATGGTGGCTTTGGATGTAAAAAGCACTAGAAATTAGTTTATGGACGATACGGGATTACTTTTACATTAAAAAGATTCCCAAGAGATTCTTATTATAATAAAAAGTATTATATAACAAATATAGGCATAATCAATGTTAAAACATCAATACCTATAAGTTTCATTAACCCTAAAATTTTATTTTATATAAAAAACAAGTTCTGATTTTGTATGTCATGATATTAACTAAGGAATTTGTTCGAGAAATCATTGTCATATCTTGGTGTATGTTCCATGGACACTTGAAAAGAATATGAATTCTGCTGTTATTGAGTGGAATGTTCTTTAAATGTCAATTAGATCCTTTTGGTTGGTAGTAGTGTTGAGTTTTCTATATTCTTGGTGATTTTATGACTAACTGTTCTGTTAGTTATTGAGACAAGGGTGTTGAAGTCTCCAACTATAATTGTGGATTTGTGTAATTCTCCTTTCAGTTCTATCAGTTTTTGCTTCACATATTTTACAGCTGTGTTGGTGGGTACGTACACCTTTAGGATTGCTGTGCCTTCCTGGTGGATTGACCTCTCTATCATTATGTAATGTTCTTCTCTGTCTTTGGTAATTTTTTTGCTTTGAAGTCTACTTTATCTGATATTAATATAGCTACTCCTACTTTCTTCTGAATAACATTCACATGATCTTTTTTCACCCTTTTAGTTTCAATCTGCTGTATTATTGTATTTGAAGTGTAAACTGCATATCATTGGGACATGTTTTTTTAATTCACTCTGTCAGCTTCTTTTAATTAATGTATTTTAGACCATTTACATTAAATGTAAGTCTTAAGTCTGCAATTTTATTTTTTGTTCTCTGTTTGTTTCTTGTTTCTGTTTTCTTTTTGCTGACTTTCTGTGGATTGCTTGAAGTTTTTTTTAGTCCCATTACTCTCCCTCATTTATAATATAATTATCTCAAACATTTCCTCTATATACATTTAGAACCATATTAGACAGTGTTATAATTTTTGTTTTCAACCATCACACATAATTCAGAAAACTCAAGAGAGAAGGAAGGTCTACTGCATTTATCTACATCTTTGCTGTATCTGTTGTTCTTCCTTCTTGATGTTCCAAGATTCCTTTTTTTAAACATTTCCTTTCTGGTTTTTGGAAGAGTTAGTGAACGATTGTTATTAATTTTTCTTTAAATGTTTCGTAGAATTCACCAGTGAGTCCATCTGCTCCTGGACTTTTGTTGGTGGGGGGGGGACAGGGTTTGATTATGGATTCAATCTCCTTATGAGTAATCAATCTGCTCAGATTTTCTGTTTCTTCATGATTCAGTCTTGGTAAGTTGTATGTTTCTAGAAATTTATCCATTTCTTCTGTGTTGTCAATTTGTTGGCATATAGTTGTTCATAGTTCTTATGATCCTTTTTTGTCTGTGGTATCAGTTGCAACATCTCCTTTCATTTCTGATTTTATTTATTTGAGTCCTCTCTCTGTTTTCTTGATGAGTCTGGCTAAAGGTTTGTCAATTTTGCTTATCTCATCAAAGAACCAGCTCTTAGTTTCATTGATCTTTTCTATTGTGTTTTTAGTCTCTATTTCATTTATTTCCTCTCTGACCTTTGTTATTTCCTTACTTCTACTGACTGTGGTCTTCATTTGTTCTTCTTTTTCTAATTCCTTGAGAAGTAAAGTTAGGTTGTTTATTTGGAATCTTCCTTGTTTCTTGATATAGACATTTATCATTATTAACTTCCCTCTTAGAACTGCTTTTGCTGCCTCTCATAAGTTTTGGTATGTTGTATTTCCATTTGCATTTGTCTCAAGATGTTTTTTTATTTCTCTTTTGATTTCTTCTTTTACCCATTGGCTGTTCAGTAGCATGTTGTTTAATCTTCACATATTTGTGAATTTCCCAGTATTCTTCTTGTAATTGATTTCTAGTTTCATACCATTGTGGTTGAAAAAGATGCTTGATATGATTTCACTCATCTTAAATTTATTAAGACTTGTTTTGTGGTCTAACATATGATCTCTCCTGGAGAATGTTCCATGTGTGCTTGAGAAGAATGTGTACTCTCATGCTTTTGGATGGAATGTTGTGTATTGTCTAAGTCCATCTGGTCTAATGTGTCATCTAAGGCCAATGTTGTTGTTTTGTGTGTGTGTGAGCAGATCAGCCCTGTGCTAACATCTGCCAATCCTCCTCCTTTTTTGCTGAGGAAGACTGGCCCTGGGCTAACATCTGTGCCCATCTTCCTCTACTTTTTATATGGGACGCCGCCACAGCATGGCTTGCCAAGCAGTGCGTCGGTGCGCGCCCATGATCTGAACCGGCAAACCCCGGGCTGCCACAGTGGAGCGCGCGCACTTAACCACTTGCACCACCAGGCCGGCCCCATAAGGCCAATGTTTTCTTATTGACTTTTCTGTCTGGAGGATCTATCCATTGATGAAGGTGGAGTTTAAATTCCTTTACTATTATTATATTGCTGTTTCTCCATTTAGGTCTGTTAATATTTGCTTTATATATTCAGGTGCTCCTATCTTGAGTGCATAAATATTTAAATGTTATATCCTCTTGTTGGATTGACCTCTTTATCATTACATAATGACCTTCTTTGCCTCTTATTACCACTTTGTCTTAAAGTCTGTTTTGTCTAATATAGATATTGCTATCCCTGCTTTCTTTTGGTTTCATTTTGTGTGGAATATCTTTTTCCTCCCTTCACTTTCAGTCTTTGTGTGTCCTTACATCTGATGTGAATCTCTTGGAGGCAGCATATAGATGGGTCTTGTTTTTTAATCCATTCACAACTCTGTGTCTTTTGATTGGAAAATTTAGTCCATTTACATTTAATTAAAATAATTATTGATAATTACTGATTACCATTTTGTTAATTGTTTTCTGACTGTTATAATTTAATAATTATAATTCCTTTGTTCCCTTCTTCTCTTGCTCTCTTCCTTTGTGCACTGATGATTTTTTGTGGTGGTATGCTTAGATTCCTTTCTCTTTATCTTTTGTGTATCTACTGTAGGTTTTTGTTTTGTTATTACCATGAGGCTTACATAAAAAAACTTATATTTATAACAATCTATTTTAAGTTGATGATAACTTAAGTTTAAATGCATTCTAAAGCTCTACATTTTTACTCCCCTTTCCATGTTTTATGTTTTTGATGTCACAGTTTATATCTTTTTATCTGTGTATTCATTAACAAATTATTGTAGTTATTTTTCTACTTTGGTCTTTCAGCCTTCTTACTAGCTTTATAAAAAGTGATTAACCCACAACCTTTACATTAGAGTATTATAAATTTTACTATATATTTATCTTTACTGGTGAGATTTATACTTTCATATGTTTTCCTATTACTAATTAGCACCTTTCATTTCATCATAAAGAAATGCCTTTAATATTTCTTGTAAGATTGGTCTAGTGATGATGAACTCTTTTAGTTTTCATTTGTTTAGAAAACTCTTTATCTCTCATTGATTCTGAAGGACGAATTTGCTGGATAGGGTATTCTTGGTTGGAAGTTTTTTTCTTTTAGCACTTTGGATATATCATGCCACTCCCTTCTAGCCTGCAAAGTTTCTGCTGATAGTCTTATGGGGATTTCTCCTGTACATAAGTTTTGTTTTTTTGTTGTTGTTTTTTGGGGGGTTTTTTTGTGAGGAAGATTAACGCTGAGCTAACATCTGATGCCAATCCTCCTCTTTTTGTTGAGGAAGATTGGCCCTGGGCTAACATCTGTGCCCATCTTCCTCTACTTTCTTTATATGGGATGCCACCACAGCATGGCTTGACAAGCGGTGCATTGGTGTACACCCGGGATACGAACCAGCGAACCCTGGGCTGCTGAAAGTGGAGCGCACGCACTTAACCGCTACACCACCTGGCCGGCCCTCATAAGTTTTCTTTGCTCTTGCTGCTTTTAAGATTCTCTTGTCTTTAACTTTTGACACTTTAATTATAATGTGTCTTGGTGTAGGGTCTCTTTGGGTTTGTCTTTTTTGGAAATCTCTGGGCTTCCTAGATCTAGATGTCTGTTTCCTTCCCCAGATTAGGGAAGTTTTCTGCCCCTTTCTCTTTCTCTTCTCCTTCTGGGACCCCTATAATGTGAATGTTGGTCTGCTTGATGTTGTCCCATAAGACCCTTAAGCTATCTTCTCTCTCTTCATTCTTTTTTGCCACTGTGATTTGGTGACTTCCACTGCCCTTTCTTCAAGTTCTTTGATCTTATCTTCTGCTTCATCTAGTCTGCTGTTGAGCCCCTCTATTGTATTTTTCAGTTCAGTTATTATATTCTACAGTTTTGTGACTTCTATTTGATAATTTCTTTTTTTGTGTGTGTGAGGAAGATCGGCCATGAGCTAACATCTGCCAGTCCTCCTCTTTTTTTTGCTGAGGAAGACTGTCCCTGGGCTAACATCCATGCCCATCTTCCTCTACTTTATATGGGACGCCACCACAGCATGGCTTGACAAGCAGTGCTTCGGTGTGCGCCCGGGATCCGAACCAGCGAACCCCGGGCCACCGCAATGGAGCGTGCGCACTTAACTGCTTGCACCACCAGGCCTGCCCCTATGATTTCTTATATTTTCTATCTCTTTGTGAAAATTCTCAACTTTGTTCATTCTTCCAAGCTCAGTGAACATCTCTGTGACCATTATTTTGAACTCTTTATCAAGTAAATCACTTACCTCCATTTTATAAAGGCCTTTTTCTGAGGTTTTATCTTGTTCTTACTCTTGGAACCTATTCCTTTGTTTCTTCATTTTGCCTGACTCTGTTAGTTTCTGTGCATTAGGTGAAACAGCCACCTCTCCCAGTCTTGAAGGAGTGGCCTTGTGTAGGAGATGAACCTTATCATTCAACCCTGCCCTACCTCCTGGTTGTCTTTCAAACCTTTGTGCCTGTCACAGCAGCCTCTTTTTAGTGGCTCCCAGTAGTTGAGGGTGTGCCAAGACCTGTCAGTGTCCCAAAGGGGAGATCACAGTCAGCACCTAGATTCAGGCCGATTGGAAGCCAGACCCTCAGGCTGCAGCTTTTAAAGTGAGCAAATATCCCTCTTTCAGCAAATATACCTCTTTCAGGGGAAGACGGGGAGATGGGCATTTCTGTCTGTTCTCACTGCACTGAGCCTTGGGGTGATAGCCAGTTAGGAGCTGTTTCTTTCTTTGCTACTATCTCTTTGAAGCTGTGAACACAAGCCTCGCTGGTCACCAGAGCTAGGCTATCAAGGGATGTGTCCTCTGGGCACCAGACTTGTACAGAAGCACCTTTCTCAGAGACACCAACAACCTGGGGCGGGCAGAGGGAGAGAGTGAAGATGGTGTACACTGTCCTCCCTAGTCTCTGGAGATGATTGTAATCAGCCCCTAGATGTGTGTTTAGTTAGAGGCCTGCCCCTCAGGCCACAGCTATGAAGATAAGCTAATAGACCTCTTTCATAAGACTTGGCGCCTCAGTCTGTTGCCTCTCTGTTGTGCTTTGGGGGTGGTAGCCAGCGAAGAACTCTTCCTCCATTTGTTAGAGTCCTGTAGGACCTGCAAGCATAAGCCCTGCTGGCCACCAGAACCAGGTGATCTAGAGATGTCCCCTGGGCAGCAGCCACAAAAATTGAGGCGCCAGATGAGTATAGAAGCTCCTTTCGAGAGATACCAGTGACCTGAAGGGAGTCAGAGGGAGAGCACAAAGATGGCGCCTGCTGGCCTCCGTCTTTGAAGAGTATTTCAGTAGGCCCCTAGATGCGTGTTAAATTAGATGCCTGCTCCTCAGGCCGATGCTTTAAGATAATCAAACAAGCCTCTTTCACAGAATTTCTGGGTACTTTTTAGTTGGCTGCCTCTTTGCTGAGACCTGGAATTAGTGATTCCACGTACATGAGCCCCTTATGAACTGTTTCTCAGTTCGCCATAGCTTTGTGGGTCTCGTGGATGCAAACCCCATTGGCTTTCAAAGCTAGGTATTTTGGGAGCTCGTCTCTTAGGTGCAGGTCTTAAAAGTTGGGGTACCAGATGTGGGGTTCACACCCCTTGCTCCTCAGGAAGAAGCTCAGCGTTGTGAGTTCGCTTCTGATTATGGGTTGCCACGCAGGGTGGGTGGTGTTTATGGTGAGATTGTGTCCCAACCTCTCATCCCCACTCCAATGTGGTTTTCTTCTTATTTGCCCGATGTGTAGTTGCTGCTTAGCCAGTCTTTAGGTTTTTTTCAGAGGAAATTGTTCCATATCTAGCTGTAGATTCAGTGTGTCCGTGGGAGGAGGTGAGTCCAGGAACCTCCTACATTACCATCTTGAACCAAAACCCATTCTTTTTCAAGACTGTTGTAGATATTCAGCGTCCCTTGAGATTCCCATCTGAATTTTAGCATGAATTTTTCTGTTTCTACTAAAAACATTGATTCTAGTTTTATACTTCAGTCTTATCAAAACAAACACAACAGTTTGAGGATTGCTGATTGCATTAAACTTATTGGACCTCAGTCTTCCCATATAGCAGTTCTCCGAGTCTTAAGAGAAATCCTGTATTTTCCTATAATTGAGGTTAAATAGAGAAAGAAAGCCAGAAAGAGGAAGATAGGAAATCCAAAAGAGAGCCTAGTGTCACAGAAATTTGTTGAAAGGTTGTTGAAACCTTTTCATTTGCCACAAAATTAATTTGTAACAGATCTAAGATTTTTCTGTAAGCCCTTGGACTTCATATTTGAACTGATGATAGAATTAAGTGGTATATAACTGAACCTTGAGATCATACAATGAGCTGTGTTTAATTATAACTCATTACCCTAATCAACCTTAGACTGTAGAACTTGACATCTGCTTTATCTTTATATAAATGCAGCAAGTAAAGGATCTTTGATGTTTTTTTATTACAACATATCCCTAAAGAAGACGTTTCTAGGCTACTGCTATGTCTTTTTCCTGAATTGTTCCTAATTTTAAATCTCATCCAAATAAATATTTTGGGGATATGTTTTGGATAGATTGTATAGTAAGATTAGAACAACCTAACAGAAGCATATCTGGTACCTTGTTTTTGTCTTCCAGAGTCGCTACACAAGGAAGTACAGGATTTGGCCTTTCTAGATGTTGTATCCAAACTTCGCAGTCATGAGAACAAAAGTGTTGCCCAACAGGCCTCTCTCACAGAGCAGAGACTTACTGTGGAAAGCTGAGAACTGCCTCTCCCTGGTACATGGCATCATCCCATCTCTCACTGCCCCTTTGTCCTCCATCCAGCTGCCTCTTCTGCTTCATTCTCTACCATGTCACTTGTGCATGCGTGTAATGTCCCAATACCTATTGAAGAACTGCTGTAGGTACCTGCCCAATAAGATTTCTAAACCTATAGTTAGTGTGACCATGAATTTGTCAAAAACAAGTCTCCACCCATAACTGTTCTCTTGTATTCCCATTGCTTGAGCTACATTAAGTAGAATGTGCATGTTGTAGTCCTATGATGATGTAAACTTGGTACTACATAATGACTTGCTCCTCACACTTGGTAAACTACATAATAATGTACTGGTAAATTAGAAACAAGCAAGAATGCAGCAGGATCTGTCTAGCTTACTAAAGATGGAATTGAATAGTAAAAATAGCTCCATTTTTTTTTGGTGCTTGGGAAGCACAGTGACCAAAAAACTGTATGGCTGCTCATTCATTAGTCTTACCTACTAATGTCAAGCCCATGGTACCTAGAGTTAAATAAAATCCAGTGCTCTCACTCTTTACCTTATGGTTTCTCCTTCTTCCTATGTAGACTCTTGAAATGGCCACAAACTTGGCAAGATTTCCTGAGGTTTTTTATTTCATATTTAATTGGCTGTCATCGGTATCCTGATGTTGAAAACATGTATAGCTTTCAGCTTGAAACTAAGGGGTTGAAGAAGCACTTTTACACTAGTACATCTTGTTTTTTGCCTGTATTTTAGATTCTGATAGATGTAAAATTTCACCTCAGAACTTCTTCGATCAATTAATCAGCATTGTCTAACACTTGTCTTTAAAAGTCACTTGCGGGGTCCGCCCCGGGGCATAGCAGTTAAGTGTGCGCGCTCCGCTGCTGGCGGCCCAGCTTCGGATCCCAGGCGCGCGCTGATGAACCGCTTGTCAGGTGATGCTGTGGTAGCGTCCCATATAAAGTGGAGGAAGATGGGCATGGATGTTAGCCCAGGGCCAGTCTTCCTCAGCAAAAAAAGAGGACCAGCATGGATGTTAGCTCAGGGCTGATCTTCCTCACAAAAAAAAAAGTCAGTTGTCATTTGTTTTCAACTGAGGAGACTGAGTATAGCTCATTGGAGAATGGATATGTTTTGCTGTTTTCCATTATTCAGCTTGAAAACAAGAAGTTTCATCTGTCATAGTCCTTTTAAAAATCTTATATGAGAACTAGCATGACATAGGAAAAAAGATTAAGAAATAAGTTTGTCTAGACTAAAGAAAGGAAGCAGGTTATAAAAGCCATAGTAGCCAGTCCAGTTCATTCTGCAGATGGCCTCCTACCAACAGCTGTTAGTTTCCCACCTTCACTTTCCACTGAGAATTGCAGTAGATCTGAAAGGCTTCAGAACAGGTGACGGCACCAAGACTCAAGAAATGAGAAGACCCCCTTGGCGAAATGTAGTGTACTCTTCACTGCCACTACCACCACCAACTGGGTTTTTTTAAAAACACAATCTTTGTAGATTAATCAGAACATCTCCGTGGCATACCTGCCTTCTCCCTGTACCCAAGTTTGACAAATACCAGCTGAAAGGTAAGATGGGCTCCAATCTGGAAGGGCTGCGGGACAGTAGAATGGGCTGCCAGGGTGACAGAAGCTCCTTCCTCTCCAGCCCGAGATGCTGCACATTCTATAGGGTGATGGAAGTTGGACTTTGACTCTGAAACAGCTATAATTCAAGAAAGTAACACCCCAGTGGAGGTAAAGAAGCTTTGATGTGCAAGACAGGGCGATTCTTGTGTGTGCTTATGCTATACTTCTTGTAAGAAAAAATGAGCTTGTTCATTGTCTTCTGGGCTGGACAGTGGACTATATTTTATTATAGGTTTTGAATGACATCTGTAATGTTGTATAATAGGCTGCCCATATTAATAACTAAATAAATAGTATATCGAACTGTAATGGCATCATTTGGTTTGTATATTTTACTTTATTTCCAGCTCCTAGAACAGTGCTTGCTCATTGTTGGTGCTCATTAACTATTTGTTGAATGAACTCCTGCTTCCATGAAACTTCCAGACTGCCTAAACTAATTCTAGATAGATAGATAGAAAATTGAGATTTAAGTATTTGTCTGACTTCAGAGATTTTTTTTTTTTTTTTTTGATAGTAGGATCTATCCCTATTGAAAAGCATTATACAGAAAACCTCGGAACAGAGGCTTCCAAAAATCATAGATTTGAGAGAAGCCACCATCTGGGCCAGTTGCCAGCAGTCAGTTTGCTGATATGCTAGGAACTCCCGCCTGCAGCACAACAAAGTGTAATTTGAATCCCCAGTTGTTCTACCCAGAGACCAGAAGGCTGTGCCATTAGGACAGGGGTCCACCAAACCAGGTGATGAACTGCTGTGCCATGGCAGTGGGTGGCAGTCTACAGACAGGACCATCCTTATCTCCTACCACTTAGTCTTTGTTCTAGAGGCCACCTTTAAATTAGTTTGCTACCTACCAAGAGTGCATTCTAAGGGAGAGGATGGGAGAGGCTGTGCTTCAATTATCAGCTTGTGCCAGGACGAGATCATAGACGGAAAGCAAAGAGGCCGGGAATTAGAGGGAAGAAGATGCCTGAGTGAGGTGACTAGAATGTCCTCCCACCCTCCCAGCCCCATGAGCTCCTCAGAATCTTGCTAACCACCCACCCAGACTGTAACCTCATTGTGGTCAAAGCAAAATTGATTCAATACTGGCCCATGATCCAGTGTTTTCCTTGATAAAACATGTTTTGAGCATACTGATAACAATAGAGACATGGAACAAAATTTTTCCGTTCTAAAACAATTTCCTCTTGGATGGAACAAAATGCAGCTCTTAGATGTAAGCATTAGTGTGAAGTGTTCTGATAAACCCTGCATGTGAAGATTTCAGAAAGAAATGCTCTTTGGTATCATTAGAAGTTGTTATTATCTAATTCTGCTGAACATAAAGGGTGAAGATGTCTAGTACTTTGGTGAGCATTAGCCTTTGTATCCAGCTGTTACTACAATCCGTAAGCTTAAAAGCCGCTTAACTCCAGGAAGCCATAACATTTGAATTATACAAGTGTCTATTAAAAAGTGCTTAATGATATTTCGGATGAATCTTCATAACTGTAACCAGGAAAATTAAGAGATTTTTTCCACAGATGTGATCTCTTACTTTATATACATAATTATGCCCTGTAGCTTCATAGATATGTTTTATGGGTGTGTCTGACTGAAATGTTGCGATAACTGTATTTTAAACATATGGTAAGTGGAAAGAATAAGATCTTTGGATACTGTCTGATCTGTAGTCACATCCTGGTTCTGTTACTTACTGGCGGTGTGACCATCGCCAAGAAAACTCTCTGGGCCTGTTCTCTCATCAATATGACAAGTTTGATAATCCCTACTTCCCAAGGTTGTTGTGACAATTGAAACTTTTAGAGGTTGAAGGTAAGGTTGGATGGAACTGTGATATCTTATAGCCTAAACTACACTCCCCTCTTCCCCCTGCCGGATTCCCTGCTAAAGAATTGAAAGAACAACAGCCAAAAAGGAGACAGTGTGTCAATTAATGGCTTGAGGAGCAGCCAGTTATCCTCAGTGCAGAATGCATAATCTCTTGCTTCCTGCCCCCGAAACTGAGATGGCCAGGCCTGCAGAGCAGGCCTTGAATGTAGGTCCCCACAATAGCACTTCCTCTTCCTGTCTCAGACTCTTCATCTGCAAAGTGGGAATGAGAGCGGTAGCTCAGCAATCTTAGCTTTTATTAATATTACCAGGTCAGCATACATAAAGCTGTACTGCTATGAGTTTCTCCTCAGTATAGAAACAAAGCAATCCACTTCCCTTTTTCATTGCTGCCCAATTATTTAGCAGTATATCTAAAATACACCTTTTTTAAATTCACACCTGTTCATGTATACGCCTTTTCCTTAAATAGAAATGCTGTGTGTTTTGCGTGACTGCTTATGGTAGCAGTGCTTGAATCCCCTGATGGAATCCACCTGTGATGGCCTGTTTATCATTCTGCTTATCGACTAGACAGGCAGAGGCCCTTTTATGTTGGAGGTTTCCAAGGGTAAGCTGTTCCGTATATGTCATGAATGGTCAGCTACGGTATTTGAAGGAAGAAATGAGCCTTGCGTGGAACTTAGGCTCCTTTCTAAGTTTATCTCGTTTCTTATTCTTTCCTTCATAGTTGACTTTTACAAGTCCATTATTTATTTCCTTATCCTTCCTTTGTTTCTTCCTAGAAAACAAACAAAACAAAACTTTTTAGCTGTGGCCACAGAGATTCTAATCTAACAACACTTCAAAAGACAATACGCACCTATTTATATCAATAGACAGGAACTTAATATAGTGACAATTCATTTATATACTGGAACCGATTATAGTAGGCCCAAACTTAAGCCAGGTAGGTACTGATGCCTGCGGTTCCGACATTTGTTCCCTCAGTCTCTGCTTTTCCTACTGACTGATGTCACATTCATCCAAAGAGAAATGGAGGGCCTCACACTTCCTCAGCACGCCGGAGGACCAAGGGGATGTCATGAGCGGTGCCGTCTTCCCACGAGCGACTGCCCCGGGTCCTCTGGTCCCAGCATAATCAGTGCAGCTCTCAGGGAGTACAGATGGAGCAAGGAGGGTGGCTAAGACATGGGACTGGGGGCTCAGGTGAGAAATGACTTGAATCAGATGGTCTCTACAGCTACAACCTAAAAACACACTTGGCTTTCACCTTCACCCCAACCTCAGAACACATTCCTGGGACTTGTCGGTGGCTCAGAGGCTGTGGTTTTGCTGGTGGGCATGTGTGCATCTTATATTCATCTGCTTAAGCACCATGTAGAGTCAAGACCACATCCAGTGGTGTGTAGAACTTCAAGGTGTTTCGTTGGTATTGGTCACTTACCAAGGGCACATGTAGAGAGAATTTTCTGTTTCAGGATTAGGTTTTTAAAAAAGGAACTAGCTAGATTTTTTTATCTTCAGCAGGCAAGTGTAAAGCCTAGTCCTGTCATTCTCTGAAGCTTTTTAGTTTCAGCTTTGGGATTTTTTTTTTTTTAAATATTTTTAAAGATCTGTATCAGATTTTTGTTGTCTTAAGAGAAAAAATTTTAAAGCCTTAACCCAGACTTCCAGTATATAAACTTTAAATACAACAGATCTTTTAAAAATATACGTAATCTATTTTCAAGCGTAATTGAGAGACATTACTTACTATTGCATTAGTTACTTTGTGTCAGCCATTGAGTCTCAGAAATCCTGGAGAATCCTGAAGGAAAGAAACTCTGGTGTCCCCTCAGATTACTGACAAAAATAAATTCCTCTATGAATGCCCACTTTGAATTTTCTAACCATACCTACTTTAAAATAGGATGCCCTTCTAGCCAAATGGTGTTTTTGTGGGTTGGTTTGTTTTTAAGGAACTGCATGTAAAGAACAGAGCCAAGCCTGTGGGAAGCTGGCTGTGCCCTTGCCTTGGGGGCGTCCAGGCACTCAGATGAAAAACCCCCTCTCCTAGGACATTTCACAGTGCTA